CGGGGGATGTAAACTGACATGGTTGGTACTGCATGGTTGTATTTTCCAGGTCTTGGAGCACATATTTAACGTTCTCAGGCATTAACTGATGTATGTCTGCACTTACAGCTTTGTTCTACATTTTGCAAATCTCAAATACATTTGCAAATCTGATTTATGCACCAGATTGAACACACGTTCACAGACTCTCGTCACTTTGTAGATAGTTTTGCCTTAAATAATGCTTTGGGACCCCGCTTAAAGGTCCAGTTTGTTATGCATTTGGAGAGGGTGTCTTTGGAAAAAAGCTAGTATGGTATAGGTCCTAGGCTATGTTTTTCATTAGTGGTACCTGATAATGGAATTATCAGGCAATTATTAGGAATAGGCATTCGTGTTTTTTGCCTCTAAATGAAATCTTGTGAACAGATCATTTTGTGTAGAGAACGATTAGTCAATTAATAAATTATTTGATAAACAGAAAACGAATCCGCAATTCCTGTCTGGTTAGTTTATGTATAAAGGAGTATGTTAATTGACGTTCCAGAAAATGATCTAGATCACAACATGTATCAATGTGACAATATAAAATGACACATACTGTGATAATTTGATAATGGATTTTATCCATATTGCCCACTGCCAGTCACAATGGTGCCAATTTGAGTAGATAATATTGAGGCGGGCAGAGATGTGTGTGACTTTTTATTTCTGTAGACATGTATCAAGAATGAATGACCATAAAAATACACCATTCACTTCATCTGTCATCTGTCAGAGAGGCAACTCACCGACACATGACACCTGCACGTTTAAAGCAAACTAATTAAAGATAATCCAAGAAAACCTCCCACTGACATTACAGAATCACACAACTATCACAGCAGAGGCCCACTATCTTTAGTTAACAGAGGAACCCGGTCTGCTCTTTCTAAGGCAGGCAGCCATCAGTTAGCTGGTGGTTAGCCTCAGTAAGTTATGTGCTGCTGTTCACTGACGGATCACTGAGGACAGAGAGGTTAAGTTACATGCCAGGGTGAACTCAGTTAACTAGCTCCTTTAGCTTCTTATCTCACATACCCAGACACAGTTTTTGTGTGGCTATTTGATTTATATCTCCTGACCAACTGGACAAAGCCAGACGGAAGAAAGCCGTGTGTCTGTCAGTGTGAAGGCTAACAGTGGTAGTGACTGAGGCTCACGGTTAACAACAAGACACAGCTGCCACTCACTCACATATTCTCGTTAACTCTCGTTAGTGATTGTGTTTGACTAAATTACAACTTCAACCACATTGGCTCCTTTCCTGTGTATAAAACAAGCTTGTGAACAACTCACCTTGACCAATGTTACCAAGCTTCCTCTCAAGGCGGCCGCCATCGTTACGGGAATGCAGCGACTGTGCTACTTCTTCTGTGGTGCTGCAGCGGTAGAGCCACGCTAGCTATAGGACAACAGAAGAAGAAGACACACTGCTTTACTATAGTGCCCCCATTTTGACAGAGCAGTTATTGTATGTGGTCAACGGGGTGATAACCATGGTGATAACTGCCTCTCCCGCCACTGGGGAGGGCTTGAACACGGGTCCCACTTGCATGCAGGGTTGGGAGGGTTTCTTTTAAAATGTAATCTGGTACTTTTATTAATTACCTGTTGTAGTCAGTAACCTAATATTAAAGTAGTGTAACTTCATTACTTTCCCTTACTTACTTGGATTACCTCAACACCAAATATGCAAATAAAGACAAGAGAAAAGTGTATTTTATAAAACAGAACAATGTAAGATTAGTAAAGATTACTGATTACATGTAATCCATTACTCCCCACCCTGCTTACATGACACAGTCACTTAGTCTAAAACATGTAGCCTACTATCTTGGACTAAAAGCTAAACCTCTTTTAAAACCTCTTCTGAGACAAGAAATAGCTGTTGGGGAATAAAAAAAAAGGGAACTATTTGCCTTGTGTGCAATAATCTAAACATCTGAATATTGTCATTGCTTACACCTGAGAGAAAAAACAACAAGACAAACAAGACACTCAAAAAAACTGTATAATGTTGTATCTGACAAAACGTCTGTATCTGTAGCTATAGGCCGCATAGTGTACTAGCACAGTCTCACAAAACAAAACAAGTCAAACAGAAAAACAGTGCATAAGCAGGAAACTGTCTGTAAACATATGTGCTTTATTCCCATTTGCGTGGGTATAAGATCACTCTATTGAAAGGTATTCAACTACAGTTATGATGAGATAGAAAGGCAGGTTTAATGTAGATGGCAAATTGAATCTAAGGACAGAATGGCATAGAAAGAAAGAAATATATGGTGAAGAAGCATGACAACTATACAATTTGATTGAATACAATAACGTTGCAATAAATACAATCTGTATGCAGCGTATACTGTTCACTTCACTTTGAATTATTCAGGGGGAGCCCGGGAACATGCTGGGATTACAGTTATTGTGTCGGAGCTGTTGTTGAGCTGAGCTCAGGGGGGCCCAAAATGTCTGGTGGTGCCCCTGTGTCCATCTTTATGTGGACAGCTGAGGATGCACATTTTCACACTCACTTGTGAATCTTTCTCAATAGCTTATATATTATCAATATATATGATCTTTCCACTTGTGTGTTGCATAACTTCTGTATTGTTGTAACATTATATTTGCTGCTGCCATGGCCCACCCTCTGAAATGGGTCCATCCTAAATAGGTCAGGGGATTCCCAATCCTATTCCCGGCGAGTGAACGTCTCTACTGATACATAGGATGACATCAGATTTTAAAATCACCAACATGAAACTGTAGGTCAGCAGTCACCCTCTGACATCTGTCAAATAGTCATCATTTACCTTATTGGGCATTTGATTTGGTTATTCATGCTGGCATCATTTTCTCTGGGGGCCAAAGCAAGGCATTTGATGAAATGTTGAAATTTTGCCCTGAGTCAGACCTCTCAGGCAATCCCACCTCTGTGCACCCTCCTGCTTGGTTTGCTCCTCACATATGGAGCATCAGTTTTTCTGAAATATAAAAAAAGTTTGAAATACCCACAGGATCTAAACACTCTGGCATATTCACATTATTATCACAGGAAAACAGCTTTTGTGTGCGCCTCCTTTAGTACTGTGTAAGTGCTGCGTTGTGAAGTTGATGTGCCCTAAGCAGAGTGGACCATTGTTTAAATTTATTGCACGTGGACCTGAGCTATTAGCCCAGAATTGGTGGTATTGTACACAGTTATTAGGGACTTATTGTTTTAATTAGCGTCTTTGAGTCTTTGCCTGGACCACAAACCCTCATCCGCATCGCAGATCTTGGCCAACTTCTAATTGGCTAATTCACTTAACTTGACTTGGCACGATCAGGGCTTATTAAAGAAAACAGCTATGTTTGCATCACCATTTTTTTAATCACAGGTTTATATCTCAGTAAAGGCCCATTCTCCTCAGCAGTGGATACGATGTCTGGACCAGCTGCGTTGTAACACTGCCATTTTCTCTGTTTAACATTTTTTCACTGATGAATTTGGACTAGTTTGACCACTGACTGCAGTAAAGGTAAGGAGGCTCTCACAGTCTGTTAAGATATCACTCTCAAAGATGTTCGTGTTGGAGTTCTTTGCCTTCAGGAAGCTGTGCTCCAAAACCTGTCTGGAAGGCAGTGTTGTCATGGATGAACTGAGGAACCCACCTCAGGCTTTGTTCCTCCTGTCTGGCCCAATTTATAAACTCCACTTTATGAACTGAACTCTCTTTAACTTTATCCAACAGGAGAAACTGAACTTGGGTAGAGGTGAAGTGTTATCCAAATTTCCAAATCTCTAAAATCAGCTTCCAGGTAGGGTTTGCTTGCCCTGATAAAATTTATTCAAATATCTTATTAGGATGGAAATGTGTGTTTTACTAATCTTATGTAGGTCCAGATTATGTAAATGAAATGTTTAATAAATGTACTGCACTGTGTTTATTGGTGAACAAGACACATTTTGAGTTTTCCGAACATAAAATTTGACTTACTTAATGATAAAGAACACTAAATGAAACTGGGAAATCTAATCATTGTAACTTAAAATGCTGAGTCAGGCAAAATATTTTCTTTTGTGCAGAGTAGTACAAATACTTTTGCTTTTACTGTATTGAACTTAAATTGCTACTTCTAATCTATGAGCATTTAAATCATTTACACTTAAACAAATTAGTTTCTCCGCTCTCAAAGTGCCAACCAACCAACCCTTGTTTTTCCTCTGTAATGTGAATACACATTTAACTCTGTTTAAAATGTATTTCCAGAATCTATAATGAACCTCTAACTATCTGGATGAAAAAAATATTTAATTTCCTGCATTATATTAATATTTCTAACCTGTTTCCCATGTTGCAACTCAATTTCCTTATTCAAACAAAGATGGTTACCAGAATATGTCCGGTTCAGTTTCAATTTGGGCATTGTGAACAGAAATTAAACACTTTTATTATGAGTGTGCATCTATATTAACATTTCTTTTAATCATTTGATGACATCTGAATTAGAAAATTGAAAAATTGAAACATTTAACATTGATTTATCTCTTGGAAAAACAAAACCGTGTCACTTGAATGTAATGATGCCAGAAGAAAAGCACACATGGGGATAACCCAGCCAGCTTGATCACTGGAGTTTAGAGATAGTATAATTGCCCTGGAGCCTGAAAGACCGCACGAAGGGATAAGTGATCCCAGAGGGAGCAGTGCACGGTAGTGGCTGACAGCCGCAGCGTAGTATCTGAGTTTACTATATATGGGCAAAGCCAGCAGAGCGAGAGCTGCACTCGCTTCCGTGTTTGTGTGATCAGGGAGTGCACAGCCGGGGAGCTTCACTGTCTCCACTGTTTCATTCATTTACAAGAGTATCGTTAAGCAAGTGACTAGCAGGGAAAATGTCGTATGAACTGAGTAAGTGTCTTTATTTTTAATAGCAACGATTGGGTAAAAAAAATGTAGTGAAACTCTTTTTTTTTTTTTTTTTGCGACACTGTTCAGCTGATCTAGCTAGTGAGCCAGGTAGCCCGTAGCTAGCTAGCCTCGCCCATAGCTGCATGATTTTGACTCTTAATCTCGCACACGAAAGACTAAATCCCGGCATTGGCAATGTTTCTGTCAGATTTAACATACAGCAGTGTGTGTGTCTGAGCACAGTTTGTTGGTCAGCTGCTCTGGTTGAAAATGCAGCTCGTTACAGACGGTTCATTGAAGTGAGCGTTAGCGAGTTGAGCTAACGTCATTCAGAGGAAATAGTTGTGCTCACATCGTTTTGTTGTGACATGCCCGGACAGAGGCAGCTGGCCGACCGTCACACACTTCTGCAGGGGAAGTAGCTCATAGAAAGTGCTGAACAAGCGTGAGGTAGAGAGTTTGGGCTGTAATTTTAATGTCGAAGTGGTGGAGAGATAAGAACGAGGCTGTAAGAAAGATAAAGAAGTGATTTTAGAGCCAGTGCGGAGGTACATGCAGCAACCACACAGCTATCTTGTTAGTTTAAGAGTTAATGGTCTTCAGTTCCTGCTCTCATTCTTTATGATAAACAGGAACGGGTTTTTTTTTTGTGTGGTTGAATTCAGAATTATTTATATAAAACGAAACTCAGATAATTCTAAGATTAAATATGTATGCTTGTCTTTCATCTTTACGATTATATATATTCTACATTAAAACCAGCCCTTCAGTTATCTGTAATAAAGTTGAAAAGCTCTTGCCACAATATAGTAGCAGTGCCAAAGAAATGAGGCTCAGTTTCAGGAATTGCATTTATATCCTTCTTTTTTTAAAAAAAAAAAACAAACAAAAAAAACTGATTACTCATTAATGTATAATTTTAATTTCTTTTCATTTTATTTAGTATTGAGGTATTTGTGAGGCAACAGCAAATGTCCTGCCATATCCTTTTATTTTGTGGGAAAATGAACCTCTCTTGGATACTATACGGTCTGAACTAAATTGGTCTGAACCTCAACTTGACTAATAAGGACAGACCTGGCTGTTCGGGTTAAATTGTCTGGAAAGATCAGTGAGGTCAAAGGCCACGTTTAACACATCCTCATTAGTCCTGACTAAAGAAGAACTAAGTGATGCAGATTAACTCTGCATCCTAATACTGTATCTGAAGCCACAGTCTGTCTGCAACCAACGCCTTATGGAATAACTCTATTCAATCCTTTTCGTATGTATGCTTATTTAAGTTGCATTAACCTTAATGCTTTACGTTATCTGTCCGTCTGTCATCTTTCTTGTCACGTCTATTTTTTTTTTAGAACATGTATTCGCCAGTCTCCCCCAGATGGAGAGGGGAGTTGCCAAAGTGATTGGTGGTGATCCCAAAGGCAACAACTTCCTGTATACCAATGGGAAATGTGTCATCATCAGGAACATTGAAGTAATTTCCCCTTTTTTTCATATTAATCATATTGATGTTTTA